AGTTCGATCATATTATTTTAAGCCTTATTTTATTATTTTATTCATACCATTAATGAACTAACATCCCCCTAATTTTATGTAAAGCACAGTTCTTGATAGTCTCTGAGACATTTTGGACTTGACCAGAGTCATGTGCTTTCCCCACAGACAATCTTTAGACGCTTGACCTTTTTTTTCCCTCTCTCTCCACAGCTGGGCTGGTGTCAGGCACCACACAAGCGGAGCCGTGTTTCTTCTTCATCACGTCATGCCCAGCAGTGGTGGTGCAGTCGGCGCTCAGTGGTATGTGCCCTCCGGGGGCGGGAGTTCAGGCCTCAACAGCAGCACGAGTTGCGGCTCCAGCGCAGCCTGCGGGGCTTTGCAGCCGGCAGGCTCCCTGGTATCCTGAAGGAGAGGGAGTTCTCTCTGGGCCGACTCAACAAGGTGTTTGCTTCACAGTGGCTCAACCACAGGCAGGTGGTGTGTGGGACCAAATGCAACACGGTGAGATGTCATTTTGTTACTAACCTGTGTTTATTGGTTAGGCATTCGTCTCTGTATATTTTCAACACTTGGTGTTATTCTGAGAGTATTATAACTTAATCAGTAAGATTAGATGCTTTCAAATAATTCATGAACAGAAAACAGCAATTCTTAGATTATTTCAGCTGTCATAACTGTTTGTCTAAAGGTTGATATCAGAGTAAGTAGCACAGTGCAAGTAACAGTTTTGCAAATTACTGTTTTGATTCAGTGATGCGTCACAAGAGTCAGCAGGAAATCTCTTAAAGGGAGTGGTATATTTCCTGGAGGGCCTTTGCAGTGCGATGTAGTGCCGCTTCTTATTTTACTTGAATCTTAATCAGATGCCAAATTTATACAGGACAGAATTTCTTGGTGTAGATAAAGGTTCCCATTTTGGTGACCTCAAGAATCAATCCCTCTGTGTTGACGATGATGTAAGCCTACAAGGGTCATACAAACTGTGACTGGGGCAGTTTGCTGGGACTTTGCTTCATAAATGTTTCTTTGTGGAATAGAAACATTTCTAAAGTAGGTCTTTTAATCAGATCACTAAGACTTATCAGAACAACTCTGGCTCAGGACTTCTCTTTGTTTTACCTCCTGAACCTGGTGGGCTAACTGGATGTCTTTCCTTACTTTACCTGCAGCTTTTTGTAGCCGATGTCCTGACTGGGCAGATAACACGCATTCCCATGCTGAAGGACAGGGAGTGTCAAGGCGGAGGCTCTGGGGTTGTGGGTGCAGTGGGGGCGGGTCGGCAGTACCACTCCACAGCAGGCTCTCGTTCCCGGATGGACCAGCAGGGCTGTGGGATCCACGCTATTGAGCTCAATCCCTCCAGAACGCTGCTTGCCACCGGAGGAGACAACCCCAACAGTCTGGCCATCTACCAGCTGCCCACACTGGACCCTGTTTGTGTTGGAGATGTAAGTGGTTTGGATTTGGAAGGCTTTATTGGCAGAAATGAAATATGGTGTTCATAGATGTGTTTTCGTTGGTGTATAATCCCCTGAATATATGACTGTTGTGTTTTTGGTACCTTAGAATGAGCCCTTTTTATCTACAGAAGCCGTGGCTCGCTTTCCATGGAGGCCGCAATGTTGAACCTCCACGTTTTTACAGTATCCCAGAAGGGACAAACCAAATTCTGGCTCTACATAGAACCGTTTGAGTTTTTTTGGAAATTCTTCATAAGCCATGTCGTTTTCAAGGGGACAGAAAGTTGACAACTAAACCAAAAAAGTCAGTTTGACAAAGATAACAGCATACAGTTGATCCTGATATGACAAAAACACAAACAACAAAACAAAAAGAAATGTTCAACATGAAGATCAGCTCGTACTCCAAGCAGAGCATGAACATGGATCATTCATTCACAGCCTAGAGTGGTACTATTAATGTCAGTAAATGCATTCAGGCAATAGAGCAACAACACATGTTTACACAACTGTAAAGGCGTTATTATTGACTAGTGGTC